GGCCGCCCGGAAGGATGTATACATCATTTAACATCCATGCATTTTTTGCCATAGACACATTCTGCGAACAACTGGCGCATATTTCACCGCACGGCTGGTCTGGACGACGCTGTACAGTAGGTTCTTCGTTCATCGTATTACAAGCACGCAGATTCCGACAAGACCTGTAGCTTCTGCGCCGCACCAATCCTCGATTCGTGTCCTATCCCACGGCCCGCTGGTTGTACATCACCCGAAAATGGGTCATGAACTCACGGTCCGGAATGATTCATTTCGGTAATGTGACCAACAACCGATTGGAGAATGCGAACGGCCGCCTTAAAGACCGGGTGCACCATTCCAACACGTTGGGGCATGGAGTTCAGAAGGTGTCCTTGCACGCCGAGTGGATCATGCGGGAGTTCGGGACGCATACGTCGTACCACTGCGACAGGCGGCAAATCCTGTAGGATGACGTCTACGTTCTAAACGTGGTCTGTCGAATGACGACATATGCGTGCTCTCTGGTTTTGAGGCACCTGGGTCCGCGACCACCGCGGCTGCCGTACGAAAGGGTTGGAACAAAGAAGGTAAGGTCGAGCTGCGCAAACTAACTTATAGTTTGCGGTGCAAACACCCAGATGCTCGCAAACTGTTGACACCTGTGCTGTAGAATGCACATGCCTTTTCTCTTAGTCGATGTGGCTTCCCTGCACACACCCGTTCTCTGTTTTTTGAGAACAGTCCGTTCCGAGCAGTGAGAACCTTTCATTATCTACTTTTCTCAGCTTGCTTCCCAATCCACCAACGATGGCTGTCGGATTACAACCTACCGGAAAACGGTTTACACGTTACACTTGTTCCCAAACCACCGCCGACAGCTTTCGACGGCCTTCGTAAACAACTGAACTGAGTGACGGATAAGCTTCAGAGGCTGGAACCCTGTAGAGCCACATCCATCTTTAAGCGATTGATTGTTCAGGGTCAAATCCTGCTGCGCCAATCCTCAAAGTGCAACTGACAGCCTGCCACTGGTGGTTGAGGATACTGCACATCAAACCAGATGGTGGTCTAGGAACGCAGACTTGACCTTTTGTGTGTTCTGTCGCCGGCTGACTACTACCAGTGACCGCTGGTGTGCAACGGACCGCGTATCATATCACGCCAACTGTTGTGATGGAGAACTCTGCCCGCTGTGTTATGGTGCTCTTCAGGCTTTTCCCAAAGGTGAGTCCACATGAAAATAAATTACTTTTGGTTCTTAGCTCCAAGCCCATGCAGAAAACGCAGAGGTGTGCTTGCTACCCGGTCCGTAAATAGGGCGTCTTATGATATGGACCTGGACCGAAGCACAGAGTCCCAGCACAGTGTGACCCGGAAGTCTGTGTGCGTCTGTTTTCGGGTCAAGAGTGGAACTAATCGACAGCCGTGAGTAAATGTTTGACAACTACGACTAACACTGTAGGGCGCAAGCTAGATGAAAGAGACGAAGATGACTTCATGTGACCCATCAGCTCCGGACAGTTGGCATGTTAGAGAGACCCCATGCATTTCATGTAAGTCTCGTATTTCTTGAGAGTTGCAGTAGATAGGCATGCGAAATAACCACTGAAGATGGCATTGTGTGAACAGGCATCTAAGGCAACAAAGTCTCTAGAGTGCATTTTGAGGTAGGTATCTCTACCAGTGTGTCAGCCGCCCGGTTTATGGTGATGTTCCGATAACCCAAATTATATCTTCCTCTATTTGCAGGAGGTCAACGGCCAGATGAACACTCCTCAGGAAGAAGAAAATACGCCTCTCAGAGGGACATATGTACACTTCAAAAGGACCAATATATCTCAACATTTCGTGACGCCCATCTTGGGCCTTTTCTTCGGTGCACATGGATGGGGCGCTCCAACATCGTGGACCCCTAGCCACATATTAGTCGTGTGCGTCAGTTTGGTTTGTTCAGCTGTCCGTAATGACTGACGTGTGTTCTAAGTGGCCATTTAGTTAGGCATCCTGTACTCCTAGCCAAGTGTTGGTCGTGTGCGTCAATTAGGTTCGTTCAGCTGTCCGGTATGGTCGCCGTATGTTCATGTTCCTAATCGATAAACCTCTGGGTCTTTCTAGCATAATTCGCAACCTATAATAGAAAACTCTGCTTTTTGCTAGCAAACGTGCACGACTTTTAGGAAATAACTAACACGGACTACGGAATTTTAACATGCAATAGGAATCATCGACCAAAGTTTGTTTGCACGAATGCACCTACGCATATTTTGCATCTCAAGAGACAATTTAGATTCTAGAATGTTCAGGGAACTTTTCCGGTGGAAAGCTACCTGAAAGTTTCGTTTATTGTTTGTTGTTTTAAGTGAACCAACATTTTCCACGATTCGCAATTATTTATCATCAGGCAACGTATTCACAGTCAGTGATGTTGAGCATTCGCTCACTTAAACAAATCGTCATGGTAAATGATTTTCAATAATACAGAAACATACACATTATACGTAGACAAGCCTGAAAATGCCGTAGATCTCGAGGAATCAATCGCATTGTGCGAATAATGAGCGGCGCATGCGAGAGGTGCACAGAATTCGCCAAATGGAATTTAATTTTCGAATCTACAACATGTCTTTCTTGGGCTAAAAGAGGCCGGCAATTGGATTCAGATTACGAGTCCAATCTTTTGAGCCCCATCTAGCCAGCCCTGGGAGCCGGCGAAGCTGGGAATGTATTCCACCAAATTTTCGCCAGAGTTATGATGGTTTCGGGTGACAATGAAATTCGATGGGCTGCAAAAGTATGAAAGCAAATTAGGATGGCTTGTGGGTTGAGCACATGCGGCACAAAATGCAATATTTTGGCCAAACGTATCTCTTTCACCTGCAAAAGTTTGGCAGCTAAAGGCATCGTGTGGCTAACAGACCTCTGTATGCGACATTTCTGCTAGCTTTTCGTTCATTTCCGTGTACTTCTACCAAGATACTGACCTTTGTGTAACAGTGCGAAAGGAGTCCAGGTAGGCCTTTCCATGTTCCACGGCAGTTAGATTTTTCTGCTGGGTACAATGATAATGTAATACAAAACAATCCAGTGTTGTTGTCACAGAGAATTCCACCTTGAATCCAGAGAGAAGCTTTTCAATCGAGGGAGGCCCAAGTTGCTTACTGGACCGCGGTCACATTCCTTTTGTGTTTATATGGACTTCATGGGAATCTGTGATCAGTGAATCCAAATCACTGAACGTAGGATTTTACAGTACACCGTTGTCAGATTTGTGGCTTTCACTCTTTAAGTGATTATAAACGATTGGGGCCACAGGTGTGCAGGCCACTTTTGACGGAGTGGAGCCGGAGGCCGGTAGTTCCTCAATTTTAACAATTATGGTGCTCACGCAACAGTCCTTGACGTCAAGGTCAACGCACGCGGCTAATGTATTGCTAGTTTCTGCACGTCCGACCCAATCTAGCCTAATGTTGTGACATGGGCTTGGGGTTGACCACCGTGATTTCATCGCCCGCCAAAAAAATAGGCGACCATAATTATAAAAGGTTGAATTATCCTAAAGCGGCCTGGATCCTTCCGACCAGTACTGTCAGTGACAACCACCGTTTGTGATGACTGCGAATAAACTGCAACATGATGTCTTCGGCAGTTAAATCTAAGCGCAAAAGAATCCACAACTACTACTGGGTTGTTCACAGGCCTAAGGTCAATTGAATTGTCGCCAAGCGGAAGCTGCTGATCGATTTCGCTTGAACGGAATCGATTTTTGAAAATGGCAACATCATCCAGATTACCACTTCATGGTTGAAAAAACTATATCCAATGCGATTTCGAGCGAAGTGTCTACATGCCTGTTTTTAGCAAACCTACCCTCAAGGTCAACATTTATCTTGAACTGCGAAACAGTGTCCAATGAAATAAGATATCACGATTTGCGGAAAATATGAGTCA